AATGCTTTTTGAACGTCATTCCATGTCGTCTTGAAGAAACACAATTGAGCTGTATTTTAATCAGCCTTTAGAAATGGGAAATTCCACCGTACAATCATGACCCCATCAAGAGCTCATCTGTTAGGTGAAAAAAAAAAGCCACTTGGTGACAAATGTGGGCATGAAGATTAATTATGAAAGACGTCAGCACTGATAAAAGTGTAATTTAAGAGCAGTTCATCTCTAGGTCTCGGCCCTGTCACCGCCTCAAAGGGAGAAGGCAGAGCGTGACGGCACTGGTGCACTGACACTGGCCTGTCACATTTTAATTGCTATCCCCCTCTACAAACAGAAAACAGAGAGAAAGAAGAGCGATAGAGGAGGAAGAAGATAGCACAGAGAATGTTCCTGTCATTTTTTTGTATCAAACACTCCTGCAGCAACCAGAAGGCTAAATATAAAGTATGTTGTACTACAGCTAATGTGAAATCTATGGTGATTTTACATGCATTGCATACACTTTAGCATCACACATTTTTAAAATGACAATACTAAACAAGTCACTCTCCATTCGGAAGCTTTAAAATGTGTTTTTTAGCATTTCAGTGGTTCTTAGGAGATGCATTTCAGCCCAAAGGATTCACTCCAAATACACGCACAAAGCAATTTGCAGAGGAAATCCCCTCTATTTCAGAGCTCACAATGCGTCTCGGCAAGTTGTAATTTAGTCACATTGAAAGCCGAATGTCTGTTTATGTGTAATTATTCTCGTTTCTTGTGCTGCTTTTGGTTCAGCCCCTCCGTGTGTGTGTGTGTGTGTGTGAACGGGAGCTTCCCTGAGGCATGTTCAGCAGCAAAGAGCAAATCGTAGCATGTAATCCTAACTCATGTCAGAATCCCTTTTTATGACTGCAGAGCTAATAATACAAACATGTTTTCTGTCACACAAATCTGCCGGGCATGAAAATAAGAACAGTGGCCTAACAGAGACACAAGAGCATTGTGGGCAAAACTAAAACAAAGTAAAACTTCAAGTATGGAAGTCCACGTTCTATATTTCATCTCAAGCATGATTTTCATGTCTCCTTAATAAACAAGGACACAAGCTTTTAAAAAAAAAAAAAAAAAAAACTTTATTCATGAAGAAAAAATGTTTTCTTGTAGTGGAAATTATGCCCTATATTTTTTAATGTGATTTAATTTGACTTTTTATTTAATAACTTTTCCTTTTAATTAGCAATTTCAAAGAACACTTAATAATTAATAATTGTATGAAGGTTTATTCAACACTAACCCTAAGTTTGATCAATATTAGTAATGATGCTTTTCTTAGCAATTACCACTAATAATTTCCACACTTTTTCATGCTGGGATGTCTCTTATGTCACTCATCTGGGGTAATATCAACATATTTTAAATATAATAAAAAAAGTTTATATTTTTAATATTATGCAATAATTAATACTTTTTTGATGGATTTTTTTAAATCCAGTTCTACATACGATTAATATGAACGGTTATGCTTTTCTTGGCAAGCAGCAATAATAATGTCCACAATTGTTGTATGTTCAGTGCAAAGCATGCTGGGATGTCCCTTATGTCAGTCATCTGGGGTAATATCACGTATTTTAAACATAATAATATTTTATATTCATTATTAATAATTTTATGCAATACTTTTCATTCATTTTAAGTGCAATTAAATGTTTAATTTGATGTAAAAAAGTTAGTATTTTCTGCAATAATTAATACTTATTTGATGGATTTTTTCATCACTAACCCCAAGTATGAATAATACGAGGTCAATAAACAATAAAACGGCAATTATCACTAACACTATTCTCGATAAAAATATAGACATTATGTGTCTCAGTGAAACATGGTACAAAGACAATGACTATTTAAATCTGAATATGTGTGCCCCATCTGGAGACAAATACATCGATGTGCCTCAAGCTTCTGGTAAAGGTGGTGGTGTGGCTGTAATATTTGGACCTAATGTATCAGTCAATGTTATTGATGCTCCTTGTGTTTCATCATTTGTATGTCTAGCTTTTAAAATCAATGGTGTTTCACCTGTTCTTGTGCTGCTTATTTATCGTCCACCAAAACCAAATCCTGTATTTTTTTCTGAGTTTACAGAGTTGTTGACACTTCTTAGTCCACTCTGTGCTGCTATGGTGTTAACTGGTGATGTCAATTTTCATATTGATAATCCTAGTTGTGTTAATACTGTTACCTTTCTGGACATTTTGGATGATTTTGATTTTTACACAGCATGTCACTTTTCCGACCTATAGGTTGGGCCATACATTGGATGTGGTTTGCTCTGCTGGTGTTGGTATTCAATCCCTGGATAGTATTGATATGAGTATAAGTGATCACAGATTTATTAATTTTGACATAAATGTCATGTCATCACGATCCATTTCTAGACGCATTATTAAATTCCGTAACATCAAGCACATGGACTTCACTTTCTTTTCTACTTCTCTTTCTGAGCTTCCTATTACTAACTCCGTAGAGCACTATAACTCCATGCTATCTGCACTTCTGGATGAGTTTGCACCTGTGCGGGAACGGGCTGTTACATTTAGGAAACCCTGTCCATGGTATACTCCGGAGTATGTCTAATGAAAGCTGTTGGAAGGCAATTAGAACGGCAACAAAAAATATAACCTGACGATACATAGGCTTCTTTACACTCAACAACAGTCTGCTTACCATTCTGCTCTGAATACTGCACGTAAGAACTATTATTCAAGCATCATTGGTAATGCTGCAAGTAATTCTAAATCTTTATTTAAAATCTTCTTAAACCAACTAAGGCCATTGTTCATTGCTCTGTCGACCAGTGTAATAAGTTTCTTCATTATTTCTCTGCAAAATTGAGGGCATATACAGCTCTTTAATCACTATCCTGTTGAGCTAGTTGATACTCAGCCTTTAAATCCTCTGAACACAACTTTTTCGAACTTCGACTTGGTTGGAGTTGATTTTATCATAAGTACAGTTAAGTCCATGAACTCAACCACCAGTATTTTAGATCCGGTTCCCTGCTTGGTTATTATGAACTGCCTTGCATCAATCTGCCCTCACATGACATCAATTGTAAATTTATCATTGAGTTCTGGAATTATTCCTCCAGATTTAAAAATTGCTGCCATTACACCAGTCCTTAAGAAGCCTGGTTGTGATGTTTCTGATTCGTCCAATTACAGGCCTATATCAAACCTACCATTCTTGGCTAAAGTTCTGGAGCGTGTTGTGGCTATTCAGTTAAATCGTCACCTAGCACTGAACAGTCTTTTTGAACCTTTTCAATCTGGGTTCAAAAAAGGGCATAGTACTGAGACAGCTCAAGTGAGGGTTGTAAATGATCTTCTTATTGCTGCAGATTCTGGTGCATGCAGTATTTTGGTCTTATTAGACCTTAGTGCTGCATTCGATACTATTTGTCACTCTATTCTGCTAGATCGTCTGGAAAATTGGCTGTCTCTTTCTGGTGCAGTATTCAGAAGGTTTCGGTCTTATTTAACAAACCGTGCCCAGTTTGTAAGATTGGGGAATTACAAATCTGATACCGTGCCTGTTCGACAGGGAGTTCCCCAGGGCTCAGTGTTGGGTCCAATTTTATTTAACATCTACATGCTTCCACTTGGGCAGATCATCAAGAAATACGATCTTGGATATCATTGCTACGCTGATGATACACAGATTTACATTACCACTAGTCCTGATGTTCACTGCTCATTAATAGCCTTACGTAGTTGTCTAACAGAGATCAGTGTATGGATGCAGAATAACCTCCTGAAGCTGAATGGCTCAAAAACTGAATTGATGCTGATTGGTACAGTGGCGGCTACTCGTAAGGCAGAGCAGATTAGTTTAATTGTTGATTCCAGCATGGTAATTCCCACTTCACAGGTGAGGAATCTTGGAGTCATTTTTGATCCACAGCTAACATTTGAAACACATATAAAAAACATCTCAAAAACTGCTTTTTACCATCTGAGAAATGTTGCTCGACTTAGACCTTTTCTCTCCTTTGCAGACACAGAAAGGCTTATACATGCCTTACAACCAGGTTAGATTATTGTAATGCTTTGTTCTCTGGTCTTCCAGCTAAATCTCTCAGAAGGCTACAGTATATTAAAATTCTGCCTCCCGCGTCCTCACTCATTCTCCTCGTGAACACATTACACCGGTGCTTTCACAGTTGCACTGGCTTCCTATAAATGCGAGAATTGATTTTAAAATTCTGATTTTAACTTACAAGGCACTACATGGGACTGCTCCAGAGTATCTTTGTGAACTCATTAGCCCCTATACTCCATCCCGTTCTCTCCGTTCTGTCAATTCTCTTTTGCTACATCAGCCTTCATGTAAGCTTAAGACTATGGGGGAACGAGCCTTTTCATATAAAGCCCCGAATATATGCAATGTGCTTCCTCTTAGCCTCAGAAATGCACAAACGTTGGAACATTTTAAAAAGTTGATTAAGACACACTTATTTAAGACTGTTTTTTAATTGTTGTATTGCTTTGCTGTATTTGTGTCTTTTACTGTAGCGGGTTTGGGTTTAAGAAAAGCGCATTTAGAAATAAAATGTATTATTATTATTTATTATTAATAATAAAAGTGACACTAATAATTCCCACAATTGTTCTATGTTCAGTGCAAAACATGCTGGGATGTCACTCATGTCACTCACCTGGGGTAATATCATCATATTATTAATATTTTATATATTTTAATGATCAACAATATTATGCAACACTTTTAATTCATGTTAAGTGCAATTAAATGTTTAGTTTGATGTAAAAAAAAAAGAAAAAAGAAAGAAAGAAAAAAAGGAATAATATATATACTATGGAATAATTTTTTTATGGATTTTTTTTCATCACGAACGCTAAGTATGGATTAACCGTGACACTTTTCTTAGCAAGTAGCACTAATAATGTCCACAATTGTTCTATGTTCAGTGCAAAGCATGCTGGGATGTCCCTCATGTCACTCACCTGGGGTAAAGCCCCACCCCCAAATCCTGCAGCTCTCCATCACTGATGCTGAAACAGTTGCAGGTCACCTGTGTGAAAACATGAAAAAAAAAAGAGTGAGGACATAATGATAATATTGTCCTCTCATCATTAGTTCTCTTGTTAATTTGACTATTTGTCTCTTTTTCCTCCCATGTAGAAAGTAATGATGCGGCCTGCCAAAAACCGTTTATGCAAATCTAAATTAACTCATGATTTGGTGAGACCAGACTTGAATAAGTTGTTCTGATTTCGACCAGATCCCAGATGTTCACTATCAATCCCCACATGGAGAAGCACAAGGGCTTCATTGAGTGAGTGTGTGTTTGTTTGGCTGCTGCTGACTGATGGTCTGATTGCCGTAGGGACGATACGCTGCAGAACCGAAACTGGGCCGAGGCCATCTCTCGTCCGTAACTAGTCACGGCAACCCGAAATGAGAGAGAGAGAGGATGGTAGCAGGCAATTCTGACAGGTTTTTAGATTGGAACTCAGCGGGATAGACGAGGGATGAGCGGAAGGAGAAAAGCAAACAGAACACAGTCGTAAATAGACAGCGTGAGCATTGTTGACATGGGGAAAACAACAGTGTGTGATTTCAGGGACATTTCACAACAGAATGAATTATTAACACTGAGAAAACGCATCCAAAAATGAACCAAATCGATTGTGCTAAATGTTTAAATGAATTAGTTTAATGGACCAACACTCTTAAAGGGATAAGTTCACCCCAAAATACTTTAATCAGCTTCATGTTATTCCTCTCTGACTTTCTTTCCTCTGCGGAACACATGAGATTTTGAATAATATCTAGGCTGCTTGTTTCCATATAATGGATCTGAATTTGAACTACTAATGATGTGTAAACTACATATTTTCAAAATCAAATAATTGGTCTGAAGGGAACCCTATTTATTTAGGCAGGAATTTGAATTCAATCAATAACAAGGAATCTGCAGATAGTATAATACATTTTTACTTTGGTTACAATTATTCATGAAAATATATAATGCAATATAGTACATTATGAATACCTTTGCATAAATAAGGCATGGCCGAAATTTTAATTATTTATTGAAAATCTTTTATTTGCTGAAAATTATGTTGTAACTATCAAATATCGTTCACATATCATTCACAATTGAAAACTGAAAAGTACTAAAATTTAAATAAAAATAAATTAAAGCCAAGTAGGAATTTCATAAAACGACAAAAACTAATAAAAATGACAAAAGCACATAACAAAATTATACAAAAACTTAAACAAAAATTAAAATATAAAAATAAAAGTTATTTGAAATATTAAAAATGATAATAGTGTATATACAAAATACAAAAAAACTGGGAAGATTTTCATAGTGGAATGTCATGAGAGTAAGTACATTCATGTATTGGTGAACTATTCCTTTGGTGCTCTTCTCGTGGCGGTCAAAAATGGTTTCAATTTGAATTTTTTTCATTTCAATGAAATGAATGTACAATATTTTAGTTTGTGTTTTAGGTAGTTTAAAATGTTGTATTTTTTCGGGATTTTATGGTATTAAATTATATTTATGCAGTAGTTATAATCCATTTATTAACTTTTTGGGCATAGACCTGAAAATGCAATTTCCAACTTAAACTGTCATAAATCTTGAATGAGTTGAAGCACAGACTTAAGTTTGGTCAATTTTTTAAAGACGACACGTGGCAGATTATCTCTGAAGTGAAAAAAGTTTTAAAAAGTGAACTAAAAAATTTTTATGGAATTTTACTTTAATTCTTATGAAAAATGCACAAAAATACTATTTTCAATTTTTATATGAAATATATATTCCAAAACACGTTTAACTCTAAAACTGTGAGAAAATCAAAGCCATAAATCTAAACAACATGTTTTCCAAATTTGAGCTTGATATCTCAAAAAAGATCTTTTAGTAAGATTTTGTTTGGGCACAGTACCAAATGTTTCCACTAGATGAAATTCATTTCCAATTCATTTCCAATGCGGTTATTTTTGACCGTAACTAGTACAAGTGTGACTTTTTTTCCCAGGACCATTTAACCTTTTCAAATCATGTCCATTCATTTTTATTTTTTTGTGTTCACATAGCAAGTGCCGTAACCTTTACCAAGTTTCGTACCATTCTCATGAATTAAAAAGAATATAAAGAATAATAAATTAATAAAAAATTCGGTCAAAAATTAGAGCACAAGAGGGTTAAGAAGCACAATCTAGTGAAATCATTGAGACTGCATTATAATATTCATACACACAAGCATATCAACCCCATCTTTGACCCAATCGATCGCAAACATCACCTCATTCCCAATGAAGAGCTTCAGCTAATGCAAATCAATTTAAATACACTGAAAAACAGCATCACGCAAACAATAAATAAATAAAATGGTTGACAGGCAAAAACAACCATTGATGTTGCCCTCGTAGAAAACATATTTCTGGCACATGCCCAACTAATTAATGGCTAATATATGTGCGGAGCTGCTGGGAAGACTGGCGGCTCTTCATGTGGCGCCATTGCAGAGTCTTTCATGTGGGGAGCGTGAGATGGGTTTCAAAAGGTGTGACTGAACAACTGCTTGGTTGCAATCTCACTGACGACAGGTTAAAGTGTGTGTTTGTGTGCATATAGCATGTCTGAGGTCTGGCATCTCGCTACACGTATCTGCACTACACAATGTAGAAGTGGATCCACACTCACCCTATTTTAGTTACATGCCTCTTCATTATTCACATATTGTTTTCTACATTCTGAAAATAAAAAAGGTTGTAAAGACGGACAAATGACCTCTCGTGCTTTCAACAGGATCCAAAAAATAAACATGGACTTGAACTAGATGATGTGGGAAAAATAAGTCAACGTGAAACCATCAAGATCTGAATGCAAAAAAGTGTTAACATCTGCCCAAGTAAATGCAAGGAGACTCTGTTCTACTTTAAAACACACTGACACTGTATTCATTTACATTTGCTTTGGCAAGTAGTGAAGTTCTCAGATGAGCAATTTGATCACAGAGACTTACAGGGACAAACAAAGAAGGGTCACCCACATAAAAGATAGACATACCACTTCCAGAATCTACAAAAATGTTAATAATTTTAAAGGGATCATAAAAATTATTAATACGATATTTCACATAACATATTTACATATAGTTCACAAGACAAAATAAAAGCTGAATTTATAAAAAGAACAATGTTCATAAGTTTGCAAACCCTTGATTAATGTGTGTCGTTACCTGGATGATTCATTTTCCAATTTCCAAAGCACCTTTTGCATATTTGAACCCTTCACAGCAGTGATTGTATGGTTTTGAGATCCACCTTCTCACACTGAGGACTCAAATTTACAAAAGCTAAAAACATTCACTGATGCTCAAGAAGGAAACACGATGCATTAAAAGCATGGTTCACCCAAAAACTAAAATTCTGTCATTAATCACTCACCCTCACCCACACTGATCAGCGGACATAAACAGAAGCTCAACCGAACCTGCTTCACGCGCGAGAACAAACCTCAGTTCTTGCGGAAGCCCAAACGTGCAGCGTAACACGAGAATGAACTTCATTGGATCTTGCGAAGCTCAAATGTACTGCGTAACACGAGAATGAACCTCATTGGTTCTTGCGGAAGCTCAAACGTGCTGATTAACACGAGAATGAACCTCATTGGTTCTTGCGAAGCTCAAATGTACTGCGTAACACGAGAATGAACCTCATTGGTTCTTGCGGAAGCTCAAATGTGCTGCGTAACACGAGAATGAACCTCATTGGTTCTTGCGAAGCTCAAATGTGCTGCGTAACACGAGAATGAACCTCATTGGTTCTTGCGAAGCTCTAATGTGCTGCGTAACACGAGAATGAACCTCATTGGTTCTTGCGGAAGCTCAAATGTGCTGCGTAACACGAGAATGAACCTCATTGGTTCTTGCGAAACTCAAATGTGCTGCGTAACACGAGAATGAACCTCATTGGTTCTTGCGAAGCTCTAATGTGCTGCGTAACACGAGAATGAACCTCATTGGTTCTTGCGGAAGCTCAAATGTGCTGCGTAACACGAGAATGAACCTCATTGGTTCTTGCGAAGCTCAAATGTGCTGCGTAACACGAGAATGAACCTCATTGGTTCTTGCGAAGCTCAAATGTGCTGCGTAACACGAGAATGAACCTCATTGGTTCTTGCGAAGCTCAAATGTGTTGCGTAACACGAGAATGAACCTCATTGGTTCTTGCGAAGCTCAAATGTGTTGCGTAACACGAGAATGAACCTCATTGGTTCTTGCGAAGCTCAAATGTGCTGCGTAACACGAGAATGAACCTCATTGGTTCTTGCGAAGCTCAAATGTGCTGCGTAACACGAGAATGAACCTCATTGGTTCTTGCGAAGCTCAAATGTGTTGCGTAACACGAGAATGAACCTCATTGGTTCTTGCGGAAGCTCAAACGTGCTGATTAACACGAGAATGAACCTCATTGGTTCTTGCGAAGCTCAAATGTGTTGCGTAACACGAGAATGAACCTCATTGGTTCTTGCGGAAGCTCAAACGTGCTGATTAACACGAGAATGAACCTCATTGGTTCTTGCGAAGCTCAAATGTGTTGCGTAACACGAGAATGAACCTCATTGGTTCTTGCGGAAGCTCAAATGTGCTGATTAACACGAGAATGAACCTCATTGGTTCTTGCGAAGCTCAAATGTGCTGCGTAACACGAGAATGAACCTCATTGGATCTTGCGGAAGCTCAAACGTGCTGCGTAACACGAGAATGAACCTCATTGGTTCTTGCGGAAGCTCAAACGTGCTGATTAACACGAGAATGAACCTCATTGGTTCTTGCGAAGCTCTAATGTGCTGCGTAACACGAGAATGAACCTCATTGGTTCTTGCGGAAGCTCAAACGTGCTGCGTAACACGAGAATGAACCTCATTGGTTCTTGCGAAGCTCAAATGTGCTGCGTAACACGAGAATGAACCTCATTGGATATTGCGGAAGCTCAAATGTGCTGCGTAACACGAGAATGAACCTCATTGGATCTTGCGAAGCTCAA